CCCCCCCCCAAGAGGAAGGGGCACCCCCTTTCACCCACAGTGGAACCTCCTGGATATCTTCTGCCCCCCCAGATGGAAAACGTGGATCGGCCAGTTTCCAGCGCCATCAGCCTCCTTGTTCCTGACATCTTTCCGCTTTCTCTTGCAGGTGCCGGACAGAAGATACTTAAATGTGCATATTTATGCCTTGTTTTTAAGAACCGCTCTAAAATTGGCCAGGTCTCCCATCTGGAAGCTTTTCAGAAAATTCCTGTGGATGAGCGATCTCACCGATGGGATCCATCGATCTGCAACCAGTGTAATCTCATCCTTTTCACACCCAACACCCTCACCATAGCCCGCGGAAGGAGGAGACGGCTGCCCCAGTTGATGCGGGTTTTGCCTCTAATAATCCCTCGCTGCACAAAAACCCGTTGAGCCACGTGCAGGGGTGGTTGTTTACCTTGCAATGTGCAATATGCTCAAATGCCAAACAGGTTTCCGGCGCAGGTGCTGAATGTAGGGTGAACCTGCAAAATCTCCCTTTAGATGCCAGTCTTGTCTTGTTTTGAGAGTTCACCCTTCCGTATTCTTTGTCGTGGGGGCTAAAACAAGCTTGGCTGAAAGCGATTTGAAATCAAATCAAAACAAAACTTAACTCACCTTCAAGAACAACAGGTTGAATTCCCTGCATTTTGCTTTGATCCGGGTTTACATTCCTGCGAATCCTGAATGACTTTTTTAAGACAGACCCTCATCCCACATCCCACATCGTCGAAAATAAATCAAGTTTTATTTTTATTTGCCTGGGGCAGAGCAGGCTTAAGGCAGCAAAAAAAAACGAACAGCCAGAATTTAATGAGACATGCGCGATTGTGGATTGTGGGATAGAGGAGAGAAAAGTTTTCAACTTCTAGGTTATTTAGAGACGCTTGTTCGAAAGGCCCAGAATTTCACGGGGTGTTGATCTCTGGTCGGTAGGTAATTAGAAAGAGAGCCTCCAGAGTCCCCAGTAGTCTACCACGCTGGCTAGGATGCCATAGGAAGCTTGAATTGCATTCCTGGAGGCCTCAGGGTGAACTCTGGTGGGAACAAGGCAGGCCTAGGTAAAACATTTTATCCTAATCCAGGGTGTTTTTCAAAGTTAAGTCCACAAAGCACAAACAAATGAATGAAACCTTGATTTGGTTTAGTCCATGAAATGAGTGAGCACTGTGGTTACTCCGTCTCTACCCCATAGTTTCAGGGAGGAAATACACCCAGTTTCATTTTTCCTCCCTAATAAATAAGATTCAAACCTATCCTGATGAATGTAGTTAGAATATAGAATATTCTATATTGGAGGAGACCTTGGAGGTCATCTAGTCCAATCCCCTGCGCGTGCAGGAGACCCTATGCCATTCTGGACAAATTTTGTCCAATCTCTTCTTAAAAACCTCCAGCGATGGAGTATCCACAACTTCTGGAGGCAGGCAGTTCCACTGGTTAATCACCTTCACTGTCATGAAGTTTCTCCTTAGTTTCAGGTTGCTTCCTCTCCTTGATTAGTTTCCATCCATTGCTTCTTCTCCTGCCTTCAGGGGCTTTGGAGAATAGCTTGACCCCCTCCTCTTCTTTGGGGCAGCCCCTCAAATATTGGAAGACGGCTGTCAGGTCACCCCTGGTCCTTCTCTTTGTTAAATTGAAGGTCCCCAGTTCCTGCAACCGTTCTTCCTAGGTTTTCGCCTTGCTTGAAAGACCAAGCTCCCTCTGTGCACGCAAGGACAGCTTGTTGCTATGGATTGACTTTGTGTTGTTGTCACATTTTCAGGCTCTCAAAGGCACACAATGCCAAGCTCTCCATTAAAACAACGGCACTTTTTTTTTCATTTAGCATCTTCGAGATACCCGCGCGGGCATCTTTATCCACAGATGGTTCTTGGGCACTGGGTAACAAAGCTGCTTGAACGTTGCCTACGGCGTGCCGTGCGTTTGTGCCGAACTCCCTGGTGGATTCATCCCCAGCTGGCCTATCTCTGCATACATATAAACCCCCCCCCTTCAGCTTCTTTGCCCCCCAAGGGGGATGAAACCATGATGTCACTTCTGGCCAATGGGAGCCCTCTCCCTTCACCCCAGTTGTAAATCTTCCTCTTTATTTATTTGGACAGATTCTTCAGCTTTTTTGTCTCCATCAGCAATTCCCAGAGAGAAAAAAATGGATGGAATGAGCGATTTAAAAAAATCATTTAAAAAAATGGAGAGGCTTTTTCAAAATGTGATATATCAAGAATTATTCTTTTATTATTAGGCCTTCCGTAACCTTGTTAGTGACCCATGAAATATTCCCCCCCCCTCTCACTTTTTTCTCTCTCTCTTTCTTACTTTCTCTTTCTCTTATTCTCTCTCTCTCCCATTCTTTCTTATTCTCTCTTTCCTTTCTCTGTCTCATTCATTTTCTCATATTCTCTCATTCTTTTCTCATTTTCTCTCATTTTTCTCTCTCTCATTCTCATTCTGTCTTATTCTCTCTTTCCTTTGTCTCATTCTCTCATTCGTTCTCTTATTCTTTTCTCTCTCATTTTCTCTTATTTTCTCATTCTTTTTTCTCTCTCATTCTCTCATTTTTTATCTTATTCTCTCTTTCTTTTCTCTCTCATTCTCTCTTTCTCTCATTCTTTCCCATTCTTTTCTCTCTCATTCTCTCTTTTTATATTTTTCATGAGTCAGCTTTGTGTGTAATTGTTAGTCCAGTTTCTGTGGGTTGTTGTTTTTTTTCCGTGATCCTAATACATTTCTTGCCAAATGGTAAGTTTCACTTTTCTTGTATATCAACATTGCTATATTTAGACAAATGGGGGCAGAGCGATCATTAATTAACTCGATGGAAATGCTGAGCATAAGAATAAAAGAATAAAATGGAAACATCACATTTTGCAAACAAGTCTTCAATTTCTTCTGCTAATGTGTGGCCTTGGTGGATCTCCTGCTTTACAAGTCTTGCTTGAAAGATGCCATGAGAACTAGAAACTTGGAGCATTGGCTGATTAATAAAACCCAAAACGCTTTGGAAGCCTGACACTCCCTCGTGGCTGAATGTGGTATTGCAAGGTCAAGATGGAAAAATTGCAGCCTCTATGGGGAAAAACCGGCAAGGTTGTATAATGGATTCTTCTATTGTCTAAGAGATATTGCTCTCTGGTGGCTTAATGTGGTATTGCGATCTCAATATGGAAAATTGCTATAGGGGTCTTCAAACTCAGCCCTTTTATGACTTGTGGACTTCATCTCCCAGAATTCCTCAGCTAGGCCATCCCCATCCACCAGGGGTCTTCAAACTTGGCCCTTTTATGACTTGTGGACTTCAACTCCCAGTGTGTCTGGCTGAGGAATTCTGGGAGTTGAAGTCTACAAGTCATAAAAGGGCCGAGTTTGAAGAGCCCTGGATTACATGTAGCTCTGTTTAACCCGTTGAACCTGACATACTTCAGGTGCTAAAGGCCCAAGGAGCAAACTAGGGCAATGTAATGGAATTTAAGAGGAATGCTGTCCCTGGTGGCTCAATGTGGTACTGCAATCTCAAGACGGAGGGAAGGGGGAGCAATACAGGTAGTCCTTGACTTACAACCACAATTGAGCCCAAATGTTCTGTTGCTAATGGAGACATTTGTTAAGTGAGTTGCAACTTTCCTTTTCTCAGTTGTTAAGTGAATTGCTGCGGTTATTAAATTAGTAACACGTCTGTTAAGGGAATCTGGCTTCCCCCATTGAGTTTGCTTATCAGAAGGTCGCAGAAGGGGATCACGTGACCCCAGGGGACGCTGCAACCATTATAAATATGAGTCACTTGCCAAGCCTCTCAATTTTGATCATGTGATCATGGGGATGCTGCAACGGTCGTAAGAGTGAAAATGGTCATAAGTCATTTTTTTCAATGCTGTCATAACTTGGAACAATCACTAAACAAACTGTTGTAAATCAAGGGCTGCCTGTATAATGGTGCCAAGTGTCTGAATTTTTTTTATTGAAGACTGCTCAGAGTCACTTAGTTGAGATAGGCAGTGCAGAAATGTTCACAAATCTTTACCCGGCCGTGGGAATTCTGGGAATGGACGTCCACACATCTTAAGGGTGCCAGGGTCAAAAACACCCTGAGCTAGACTGCTGTTATTCGCATCATCAGGCTGTAAAATTGCTTGGGAAATCAATGGTTGCAAAGCTGAAAATTAGAGCTATTCGCTCTAGACTGCACCACTAGAGGGCAGCAAAAAACCACGGGAAAATAATCAAACTCTTCAGTCCTCTAGTGGCCACGCAGGGTATGGCAGCCCAACTCTGGCACTGTATATGGATAAACCGAATTAGATGCTCTTAAAATGATTCAGCTCAAAGCAAAAAGAGGGATCAAATTCAATCCAAATTCCAAATTCAGTTAATAGGCTTTTTACCCATCTTCTCGCAGAGGCTAATTTTCCAGGCGGAAAAACAGGACGCAGTCATTAAATAATTCAATGTTAATAAATCAGATACGGTATGAATAAAAAACCCCAAAAGAATTTAAACAACGACACGTCTGAATGGATCATTATTCGATCAGGAACACCTATAGGGAGGGGGGGGAACCTTCACCCACTTCGCCTCTTTCCGTAAATTCCGGGCTCGTTCGGCTATTTTCGTCTCAACGTGGTTCGGGTATTTCCGACTACAACCGAACGCTTTCCTCGGCCCCTTTAAAAAAAAAAAAAAACTACCGTAGCCATTGATTTCCGGAAGCGCTTTATTTATTTATTTTCCCGTCTTCTTTTTTTTTTCCCCTTGACTTTCTGTCCAGTCGCAAAGCAATCCAGAGCTTCGCCCCGCCCCTTTCTCCTCCCCCCTCCCTTCTATTTTTTTTCCCCACCTGCCGTCCTCGTCTTTTTTTTCTTCTTCTTCTTCTTTTCCCTCAGCCAATCAGCGCGCCGCCAGCCTCTTCGGCTTTTTCCGCCAAGCGTGGGAAGCGTCCCCGGCAGCGTCGCCGCCGCTGCGGCCGTGGTCGCCGCTCGGCTGTTTCCGAACGCTTGGCGGAAGTTGCCGAAGCCCGGCTGAGGCGGCCATATTGGGAGCCGCCGCTGTGTGAATCCGAGGGGCGGCAAGTGGCGTCCTGGCACCGGCGGCGGAGGGAAGACGGTGGCCCGAGCCCAGCGGAGGAGGCGCGGCGGGGCTTGGCCGCGTCCAGCCGGCCCGAGAGGCGCCTCAGACGGCGGGGGGTGCCCAGCGGGGTTTTTTCTTCCGGCGCGGCCTGGTCTCTAGCGCCTCATCCCCGGCCTCGCGTGATTCTGCAAGCCGGGCACCCTGCACCCTAGCCCGGCTTAGGAGGGGAGCCTTATGCCTCGTCGGTGGTCGTGCCTTCCGACCGCCCAGTGAGCCCCCGTCCCCCATGCTGGTGGCCTGGCCGCCCCCCTCGCCCTGAGGAGGAAGAGGAGAAGCGGAGGAGGAAGAGAAGGAGGACCCCGACCTCTTCCAGCTGGGTCAAGGAGCAGGAAGAGGGGGAGGCGCTGAGCAGCCGGGGGGACCCCCCCTCAGGCCTTTGCCAAGGGGAGCCATGTCGAACAGCGGCCGCAGCCCCCTGCCCACCGTGACGGAGAACCTGGAGCAGGTAAAGACGGGGGAAGGGTCGACATTTAGACGGGGGGAGGGCTGGAAGCAATTCCTGGGTGGGGGTCTTTGGGGGCCCCCCAGGGCGAATTGGAGACCTGTGGAAGAGCTGAGCCTGGGTTGCCCCTGTGTGGCTTGAAACCTCTGCCCCACCTAAGCTGGGGGGGGGGAATAAATGCCTCCCTCCCTTTAATCTTCCTGCCATGCTGGTGGGGAGGGGAGAAAGGGGGCTGGGACCCCCCACCCCACCCAATCTCCTGTTGCTGGAGCTGGAAGGAGCAGGCCCATCACAGGTGTCAGCCCTGGTGGGGGAAGAAGGATTTGGGGAAAGGGGGGGGGTCTGTTTCTTCTAAGGTTGTGCAAAAGAGGGGATGAAGCTGGGATTCTGGGGTCGCCCTCTTTGCTGTGAGCAGCCCCCCCCCCCAGCTTCCTCCTCTTTGCAAAGAGCATGGATAGGAAGGCCTGTCTGGCTGCTGGCATTGAGGTGGAGTGCTGTCCGGTGACTCTGGACCCTGGCCAGACAGGAGCTCTGCTATGTTTGGGGTGATTCAGAGGGGAAAATGGGCAAGGGGCAACTTCGCCCACCCCTGCACCACCGGGTTTTCTGAATCTGTGTGTTTGACTCGTTGGGCGAGAGGGGCGTCCCTCGGTGCCACATGAAAAGGATCCCCTTGGTGAACAGATGCCAAGGGAAGGAAGATGGTTGCTTTCTTTTCCTTTTCAACTGGTTCTGCTGCTTTTTCTGATTTTTTTTGGGTGGGTGGAAGAGTCTCTTTCCCCCTCCAAAATGTCTGCCTGTTTGAATCCGTTCAGAAGAGGCGCAGAGCAAGGCTGGCAAAACATCTGGAGGACTGGGACACCCCGAGGATGGGATTCTGCCAAGGTCTTGGGTGCCAGGATCCAGGCTGAAGGTTCTCTTCCCAAAGGTGATTTGGTGGGCTTTTAAAGGAGCCTTCTTGGAAAGGGAACAGTTCGTATTAGCAGGGCGATTTCCCTGGGGATAAATCCTTGGCGTGAATTTCTTGGCGTGAATGAGCCTTGGCGTGAATTTCTTTGCCCTCGCACCTGCTTAGGATGTGGCATGTGGAAAACGTGGCTTTGCAGGGTGCCTTGGTGAGCAACTAAGATGCAGAAGGTATGAGATACAGGTTCTTGAATCCAAGGAAGATGCAGTGGAAGGTAATTGGTAGATATCTTCTTCTCTTATTTATTTTGTCTCTAGAGGAGTAAGCAGGCTGGGAAGCAAACCAAAGCAGTCTAGCATGGCTGGTTGCAACGGATTGTGGGAGATGTGAGCTAAAGCATTAGAAAGCTGCTTAGTTGTCGTTTCTTGGGTCTGTCACAGAAAAGAGTTGTGTTAGAACAGCCCTGCCCAACCTTGGCAACTTCTAGACTTGTGGACTTCAACTCCCAGAATTCCCCAGCCAGCATGATGGTAAAGCATGGCTGGCTGGGGAATTCTGGGAAGGGAAGTCCACAAATCTTAAAAGTTGCCAAGTTGGACACCCCTGCGTTAGAAGATTCCTTCACCTTTTCAAGGTATACATTGGGTGGATTATTTGCTCATTCAAGGGAGAAGGCAGTTGAGGAACTGGACTAAAAAGGATCCAAAACCCGGAACTTTCTCTTCACGCATGGGTGTAATCTTGCATCTGGTGTACGGGTTACATTGAGCAATCTCTTCATTTTACTTTCATGTGGTATGGGGTGGATGGCTGTGGCAGGCTATGTTGAATCTACTTCCATATAAAGAGAGTGCAGGAAGTTAAAAGAAGGTGAGGTGGCGAAACCGTTGTGAGAGCTAGGCGGATTTCTCACAGGGCTTCAAAATTCAGCCGAAGTCTGCCTGAAATGAAGCAAATGGGCCCTCGAACCCAAGGCTGCGACCCCTAAACACTATGGACTAGGACAGAAGAGGCTCTCATCCCAGTGGAAGGAGCACCACCTGGGCAGGTACGTTTTTAATAGACAGAAGTTGTAAATTTTCACCAAGGGCAGGTTTGACCTATCTTGACCCCCGTCCCAGTGCACGATGGAAACTGGAACCGCCGACTTGCTGCTGGGGTCTACTCTAACGGCAATAACACTTGTTTTGTGAATAGCATGGTTCAGCAATCGAAAACACTCCGTGCGGAATCCGTACCTCGTACAGTGTCAGACAAAAATTGTATCCTTCTCCTCCTTCCAGCCGTAGGACAGGGATTGTAAGAGTAGCCAGGATTCCAAATTAAGCGAATAAATAGTTTGTTTTGCCAGGGTTTGTCAAGGTGAACCCCTGTGTCTGAGATTGTGCCTTGCTTGAGCCAAAAACAATGGTTTACAAACCACAGTGGCCAGGTTTGTATAACGTTCCAAAGCGAGACCAGAATAAGCCACTGTCGCTTTCGTGCGTCAGGTCAATCCCAGGAAGATTTTGCTTGCGTTAGCACTTGTTGCTTCTCAGCTGTTTCACAAAACATTGGATTAAAAAGTCAGCCTATAAATCACATACCTGTACGAATTGCTCCTCGCTGACTTTCCTTACCGTAGTTTTTTTAAATGAAGCATTTTAAAGACGGAATGCAAGACAGGAAGAAGACATGCCAACAGAATAGAAGGGTAAAAATACAAATAAGAATGATGCGTTTTTAATCCAGTGGCATTTACCACCGTTTTTAGCTTTCTTATATGTGTATGTGGATAGAACCGAGATCTTAATTAAGATTTGGGATTAGGGGAGGCAGAATGGTGCAGTACTGTGTTTCTCAAGCTTGGGAACTTTGGCCTGGGGAATTCTGGGAGTTGAAGTCCACATCTCTTAAAGTTCCCGAGAAACGCCGATATAGTACAGAGTATGCTGGGACTTGGGGTGAGAAGGAACCAAAGGTTCATTTCTCGCCTCCTTCACTGTGGCCTTTGCAAGACAGATTTGAGAATAGAATGATGGACGGAAATCTGGATTCTATGGAGGACAATTGAGAAATGCATGCAGACCCGCTCTCCCCCAATGAGAGACTCCTTAGTTTTATTAGTGGACAACTTCCATCTTGAACAAGCTTGGTAAAAAGTGGAGATTTATAAAAACGAGATCAGGAGAGTCAGTTGGCGGGTCCTAGTAGATATGATGGATCATCAGTTGGTTCTAAAAGGTAATTTGCTCCCATCACAAATTTCTTCTCCCAAGGGAGCTGAGTAAATTGTTGCAGGTGCTCAGATCCTCGGAACAGGCCCACCATTGCTTCCTCTTGGTGCTGCCTGCAAGCAGAAACCTTCTGGATCCATTGCGCCCTTTCCTCCTCCTCTACATCTTTCTTGGCTGCCCGCAGACCCAGCGTTAGCTGAAATCCGAGCAGAAAGGCTGCCTTCCCACCCTTTTCTTTCCTCGTTCATTCCCTGCACACAAGTCTCTCTCTTTCTCTCTCTCCATTGGCTTCCTGTTTTTGTGGGTTGCTCTACGCAGCTTCCGCAATCTGAGTTTTGCGTTAGAGGGGCAGTTGATTTGCGGATTGTCTCAGGTGGGTCCGTAGGAAAAAAAAAACAAAAAAGCAACTGCTCTGGAGACAGCAGGTTGTGGCTGTAAGCTCAAAGTTGCCTCCCCCCCTTTTAGAAAACCAAGTTGTCTTAATCCTGCCAGTGACCCCACTGGCTGTTGTTGGGTTTTGTGTTGTCTTTCAGCGGGTAGCACTCCATGACATGGTATATGCTGTTTGAGTTAGTAGAAGATACGAAATGTTAGGGGCCACTCACAAATTGGTACCAAATGGAAATAGTTCCCAAATTTCAAAGCTTGTTGTGCTCTAATTCAAAGGAATTCTCCATCACACTCCACTGCCCAGGATTCAAGAAATTCAGGTTGGTCCTGAATTTGATATCACCAATGGTCAGATCGAAAAAAGGAGGTCCCATTGTCTCATGAAAAAGCGCCTGTGGGACCACCCATGACCTGGATGGCTGAGACGATCTCCCTAGACGCGAACCATCGGAAAGGTTTAATTTTTGGTCCATTGCACAGCCAGATGTTCAGACTGGGCTTGGCATTTTTATCTGCCTGTTGAGTCCTTGCCAAGGACCTGGGAGAGGCAGATGTGGATGTTTGATGGTGTTGCAGGATGTAAGCTGTTCCCTGGCAAGCTGCCTCTTGCAATTGACCAGTGGTGAATTTGTCAATGCCTGTGGTGTCAAAGTGGTGCTCCAGTTGCTTATCCTTATTGAAGCTTGCCTTTCCTGCTTTAGATGTGGTTTTCTTTAATAAAATCATAGTTTGTGTTCTCTTACAGCACACTAAGTCATAAACCCACTCTTACAATGATACTAGGTTTGTGGAGCATGCTTTTTTAAACTAACACTACGGCTTTGTGCAAGGGTATATCTTGTCTGTATGACGTAGCTGTCAAAACCTGACAATTAGGTGAGGATGCTTTTCCTGGTGGTGATTCATCCAGATGTTGGAAGAGGGGACTAAAACGCCTCAAATGACCAGCCAGCATGGAGATTCTGGGCGTTGTGTTCATTCACCAGGCATTTAAGTTGAGAACAGCTGAGCTGCCATGATGTGGGATCCAAGTTCCCCAAATTCATCTACCTTACAGGGCTGTTGCACATAATAAGTGGGAAAAAAAAACACGTTTATCTGGAAGATCAGGTTATAAATGAATTGCCTCCCACTCGAAATGTTCTAACGCATTTGATCCATTTTGCTCTGGTTCTCCTGCTGTTTCAAATTTACTTTGTGTGATTTTTTTTTTTTTTTTGAGACAGAAATTTAAGCCACAAGGCAATTTTTATTGGCGTTCTCTCGGTCTGCTCTGCTAATGTAATTTTATTTCGTGGCCGTTAAGAGGTTAGCAAGATTCGGACTTATGCACTGGCTTTTGGGGATACCACTTGGAAGAAAGACAGCACATGCGTAATCATCAATATTTGATTGGGGGAATTAAACAGTACACAGGCACCAAGCATTGGTCATTACCCGCAAGAGAGTAATAAGGTTTGTCCTGAAGGACTCGGACGGGGCAGCCAAGA